TTATAACTTCAGTTTCCTACTGACTGTGGCTTGCTATGCCCTTGCTGCCCCTTCTACCTTCATGCCACCCCAGGAGGGCTTCCAGTCTCTGCTCCCCACCTGACCCCTTGACTCTCTCCACATCTCTCAGTTCCGGTTCTGGGGAGCGCAGCTCTGGCTGGCCCAGCACATCTTTCTTGGGGCCCAGCTTTTCTGGCCGAAGCCATCTCAGAGGTCACCGCCCAGCTACATGGGTCATTGACCCTGGCTACACAGGTCATTTCTGGCAGGATGTCATGTGCCACAAATGCAGAGCCTGAATTCAGTCGTGACTTCCTGAGTGTTTATGATGCCATCTAATATCGATGGTGAGCAACTAAGAAAGAGAGAGGGGAATGTCATTAAATTCTGACAGGTGAATTCTTTTCTTATGTCCTTAGGTCCACCCTTCACCCCCCAGAACTAAAGTTAATGCCATCATGTACCTCCCAAATCAAACCCAAACTCTTAACTGTGGCAGAGCTGGCCACTCAAGTCTTTCCAACCTGCCTTTCTTGTCCCACCAATTGCCTTCCTCCTCATGACCCCACGTGGCAGATGTCCCCAAGCTTACTCTGAGCTATGCAGCTTCTCTTCTGCTCATGGGCTTCTGTCTATGTCCAAATTCTCTATGTGCTTCAGAGACCAGCTCAGGACCTGCATTCATTCCCTAGGGCTGCCGCAGCGAAGTACCACAGTACCACAACCTGGGCGACTCCGAGAAATGCATTGTCTCGCAGTTCTGGCGGCCTGAAATCTGAAGTCAAGGTGTCGGCAGGGCTGTGCTCCTTCCAAAGGCTCTAGGAGAGAGTCTTTCCTTGCGTCTTCCAGTTTCTGGTGGCTCCCAGCATCCCTTGGCTTGTGGCTTCATGGCTCCAATCTCTGTCTCTATCTTCACGCGGCTACCCCCCGCCCCAGTGTGTTTGTCTCATTTCCCCTTCCATCTCTCATAAGGACCCCTGTTCCTGGATCAGGTAATCCAGGATGTAACCTAGGATGATATCACTTCGAGATCTTTAATTTAATGACATCTGCAAAGACCCTTTGGCCAAAGAGGTCATGTTCATAGGTTCTGGGGGTTAGGAGGTGGACATATCTTTTGGGAGAAGCACCATTTAACCCACTATAATCCCTAGTTCCTTTTTGAAGACTGCCTCCTGGTCAAAAATGACCTCTTTCTCCTCTGGACTCCCATGCCCTTTATTCAAGTCTTTTAAGGCACTTAAAATTTATTTTGATTTTTTAAAAGATTTTATTTGAGAAAGAGAGAGAGAGCACAAGCGGAGGGGAGAAGGGCAGAGGGAGAGGAAGAAGCAGACTCCCTGCTGCACAGGGAGCCTGATACAGGGCTCAAGCTCCTGGGATCATGATCTGAGCCAAAGGCAGACACTTAACTGACTGAGCCACCCAGGCACCCTCCGCCAAAAAAAAATTTTTTTTAAGATTTTATTTATTTATTTGTTTGTTTGTTTGTTTGTTTATTTAGAGAGCAGAGGAAGGGGCAGAGGGAGAGGGAGAGAGAAAATCTCAAGCAGACTTCATGCTGAGCACGGAGCCCAACACAGGGCTCGATCTTAGAACCCTGAGATCATGACCTGAGCTGAAACCGAGTCAGACGCTTAACTGGCTGAGCCACCCAGGTGTCCCAAGGCACTCTTGATGTTCTCTTGTGCAGTGTAGACACATTGGCACTAGTGGTAAGAGTGTGGGTTGCAGAGTTAGATGTCTGGGCTTCAAATCCCAGCTCTGCCACTTGCCAGCTGAATGACACTGGTGGAACCACGTCGCTTTTCTGGCTGGGGCCAGGATGCGCTGAGGTGCTTAGGGCACACCATATAAGGAGCTACTCACTCTCAGGGTCCAGCAGGTGCAGGGTCAGCCCTCTCACCACCTTGACAGGGACGTTTCCATGAGCTTCCTTAAATTTCATGCCTCTCTTGCTTTACCCAAGTCCCTGCCCTGCCTCCTGCCCTGGTTTTTTAATCTGTGAAATAGGGACAGTGACCTCCCTGGTAGAGAAAGTGTAGGGACTCAATAACTAGCACAAGTAAGAGACTTAGCACAGTGCCTGGAGAGCTGGTCTTCATGTCTAATTCATTTTTATAGTCCTAATTTTAAACACATTACATCAAAAATAGTATGTAATCAATTATGTTTAAGTGAATTAATAGCTGCTAAGTTCGAGGCATGTGGTGATGGGGTCTGTAATCAGGAAAACAGCTCCAACTTCGAGTCCCTGGATCAAGAGTTCCTGAGCTGGTTCATTTCCTGGTTCACATTGCGCGTTGAGAAGGTTTAGGTGAGGAGCTTTGGACAGAGGGAGTAGAGCCCAAACCTCAGAAAATTGCTGAGGTTGGTTTTCAAATTAGAACCATGAAGGAAAAGGCTCCAAAAGTGGGATGCGTGCACGCTGGAAGGATTAGCTCGAGTCTGGGTAGCAGCAGCTCAAATGTGCAAAGTGGCTTAGGTTCATGCGAGCTGGTCACATCGGGAATGGATGGGCTCCCTCTCCGTTAGGCCCCTGCCAGTTCCGTGGGAAGGAGATTCTTTCCTGGAACATGGAGACTATCTTGCATCTTGCCTGGAACTCCATGAAACTGTTGGCAGCATCTGGCTCAGCTGGGTGCATCCCGAAACACCACATTTATTTGATATCGGAATTGATATTCCTCTTTTACATTGTGGTTGGGACTCATTAACTCTCAATAAGGACCGACATTGAAGGAGGAGTTTCTGCCCTTTCTTGCGAAAAAAAAAAAAATATTTCCTTGGATGGGACATAGCTCCTGTAACTGATTTGCTCTCCTGGCACAGGGCAGCATGTGGTGGGGTGCCCCAGGGCTGTAAGAAAGGGGACCGACTCAAGAATTCCTGGGTGGGAAGGCTTTTTCCCTGCGCTTACCACAATTGCTAAAACACTAGGTTTAATAGCCCAAGACTGGTCTATATTTGCATGGAAACCGTGTTTGTGTGGATTTTTTTTTTTTAATTTCAAGATGGCCATAATAAGAGCCAGACTGTTGATGAGTCTAACGATTAGAAGCAGCTCCTAAATTTCCCACACAATCATGGTAGGTTCAATTCTGAGATCTTATTTGAAAAGTTCAAAATGAGTGGTGTTTTTATCTAGCGACCTCACTAAAGCACTCATATCCACTAGTGCCAGACACGTGCGTTACGTTTGCGGTTGCCCAGTGCAAGGATTGTCCTTATAACCAGCCATGGAATTTAAGTAAAGCAGTCTGGAGGGGTGTCAAGAAGGTTCATTTTAGGAACTGCTGTATTTATGTCCACAATATCGCTATTAAATTGGCAAGTATGAAGCAGCCTTGAGTGTGGCCGAGCATATACAGTCACCATTCCTGGATGAGTTGTGTGCTTGGAAACAAGGAGCGTAAAGAGGGTTCTTGGCTTCCAGGAATTTGGCTCAGGGTTTCAATCCATTTGAATCATGTCCACCATTACACCTGTTCCTTTTGGAGCCAAACCTGCACATTATCACCATTACTCTTCAATAGCACTGAAATTGCAATAATCTATGAAATCTGTCCTTTCCCGTTCTTTCTCTGCCACAAAACAGAATTTCCAGGAGCTTGTGGGGGTGGGATGGGGGTGTTGAAAAATACATTCTGAGTCACCGCTTGAGAAGTTTTTATTGTATATTTTCCCCAAGCGTTTCTGGTAGTGAAAGTATTATGGGTATAGAATGAGCAAACACTTAAATTGAAAACAATCAGATGAGAAAGTCCTCTGCTTTAATGAGAGGTCACTAGTACTTATTTCTGAAGCTATTATCAACTTGGACTGTGGGATTGGAGAGGCTCTTCCAATACAGGTAGTGACACAAAAGAATCACTGTTGTTTTTTTTTTTTAAGATTTTATTTATTTATTTGAGAGAGAGAGAGAGAGAAAGCATGAGCGGGGAGGAGAGCCCGACATGGGGCTCAATCCCAGGACCCTGGGATCATGACCTGAGCCGAAGGTAGACGCTTAACCAACTGGGCGACCCAGGCGCCCCTGAACCACCGCTTTCAAGAGAGACCTGGGCACCAATAACAAACTCATCACTTCCATCTGCATCTTATACAAACAACAAGATCCTAATGTAAATATCAAGACATGGCTCCACAATCCCATAGTATTCTAGTTTGTCACGAATCATGAAGTGTCACCTTTCAACTCCTGAACGCCCAAGGAGCAAGAAACTGCATAGCAAGGATAGAGGAATCTAGATCAGGGATTGGCCAACTACAGTCCTAGGGCTGACCACCTGTTTTTGTAAATAAAATTTTACTGGCATATAGCCATGTTCATTCATATACACATTAGCTATGTTTGCTTTCATGCTAGAGTGACAGAGTTGAGTAGTTGCGACAGGCAACGTTGGCCAACAAACCCAAAAATGTTTACTCTCCGCATCTTTACAGGAAAATTTTGCAGACCCCTCGTCTAGACAAATAGTCAAATGAGTCAAGTTGTTGGCTAAAGGTCCCCAATTCACAATGCCAAGAGAAGGACTGGGTTGGCTTTGGTTGTTGTCATGCACTTTGTAATTTAAAAAATCTTATGAGCCAGTACAACTAAAACTCCTATTCACCTTGCTTTGAAGAAGCAATATGGAAAGTAAAATTAGGTCTCAGTATATTTTATATGTTGCCTGGACTTCTAAAGCATTGCTGGATTGCTTAAATATGCATAAGTCAATGTCATTTCTCAAAACTTTTAAAAGAGGCAAATGTTGGCAACTTCTAAAGTACTGGCATCATGCTGTGTCTGTACAAAATTCGACAATGCTCAAAACCACGTGCTGTCGCTATAAATGTAGTCCTACTTCAAGTGAAACTCTTTAGTCTAAATATTTTCACAATCTTTGAAACCAGTTTTAAGAGTCATCAGAAATCTGTAGTTTAAGACACCAGACACATTTCTTAGCTGAGCCTTCCAGTGCCAACATGTTGGACCAATTCAGTAAAACATGCCATAAATTATATGACGGCTTTATTTGAATTAGGGGATACTTTCCACGATAGCAGGAATTCTTACTGGGAGTTCAAAAGCCAGACACAGGCTCTAAGTTATTATTCATATACTGGTGATGGATTCGAATCTTGCCTTTGTGGCCAGGTTTGGCCAGGAGTATAGGTTACAACAAAGAACAAAGCTAAAAGACCCAAAGCAGTTAAGATTGCAGTCTCAATAGCTCTGAGTTATACCACCTTTACAAATGCAAGACAACTGACTGGAACAACCTTGCACTGGCATGTCAGAAGTGACCGGAAGCTTTTGGAATATCATTAGGATAGGGCTTCTTACTTGATGTTGCTTACAAGGAAGGCTATCTCTCTTCTTGTCATTTAAATATATTAGTAGATCATTAATAACACATGTGATTATGGACTCTATCTGCAAATCAATCTTAGTAGATATGTGACTAGTCACAGCAGAAAAGCCATTCAGGTCTGGGAGCACATGGCCTTCCTCTAGACTCAGGTTGGGTCACCTGGCTACGTCTACAGACTTAAATGGCTAAAATCCAATTCTCTACTCATAGCTGCACTCTTGCCTAGAAGAATTTATAAAGCTTGATATAATAACTTGGGGGAGGAAGTGGTATGCTAGTGAAAATAACACTAAATAATACTAAGAATTTAAATACGATTTTTGAGACTTGCGTCAAGAGTTGAAACATACAACAAACCAACTAGGTGAGTCCTAAGAATGATACGAATATGGGGTATGAAGTTTTCAGGTTCAACTCAAGTATAATTGGATCACATAGCTGAAGAAAATGTCCATCATTCTATATTTTTTGAAAAATTGGTCTTAATTCTTAAATTGCTCCTTTCTTCATCTGAAAAAGTTCACCAGCCAAGGTATACACCATCACAGAATGCCACTTACAGACTCTCATTTTAAAGATACCCTTAATTTTCCAAAGGACAGTTAAAATAGGGCTCATTTTCAGAAAAAAAGGATGATTCACCATTCTAACTCAGGACTGGAAAGGTGAGATCCTTACAGGGGAGGCTCATAAAAGACGTCATAGGAGAAATGAATGCTCTCGAACCTTTGGTACAGGAGTGAGGTTGGGGGATGAACATGTCTCTTTGAAGCAAAGCAGCTGAGGCTCGAAGTTATGTGGGAAGGGCAGCCTGTGTGTTCTGTGGCCAAATCGTGAATGCACATTTTTGTGTGACACTTCTGCTTGGGGAGCCAGGCTCTCATTAAGTTCTAGCCAGTTCGATGTTCACGAGGGGGACCTCCAGGGTGTGGGGAACACTTCAAATTACATTTTGTGAAGACAAGAGACTGTCAAAGCTTAGGAAGGCCCCTGGCTGTTAAAGGCCAGTGTAATGCTCGTGCGCGCGTCAGAACAAACTAGCTGCGGACACAAAGGGAGGTTTTTTAAAGGTGGTATCGAATAACAGGCCAGCAGCCATTCCCTCTCTGCGGCTTAGACCTCTTTCTTCTCTCCACTTTGGCTCTTTGTTGAGTCACTTCCATCAGGCAAAGTTCCATAGGATAAGCCATTTGAATCTGGTTGTATTTTGTCCAACATTTGTTTCCCTGTGGAGATAACAATCACAAAAAATCTTTTGCGCTCTTAGAAAAGAATACATCTTAATAATAATTTCCCCCCTCTTTAGGCCACATTTTATTCTTTTTTTTTAGTGTTCTGTGGTCACCCTCTGCACAGAAGAGATCAATGTCAGGAAGAAAAGGCCCTGGAACTCTGTGTCCCTTGTGGTGACCACACACTCTCCACCGGAGACAGTGGTCTTCCCGCCAAAGAGGGCCTCCTGTGCTGGGCATGGAAACCGGGTTGGATGGTCAAGAGATGAGCATGAAGCATCCACTCATCTCCACACCTTCCTTCCCAGCGTCCTTTCTCCTTTTCCGTGTTTGCTCTAATGCATGTAACAACAAAGAAAAGCAGATTTCCATAGCAGCTTCTAAAAGCTGTTGCTGATCCTACGTATGGGGCTTTGTGAACCGAAAAATCGAGTTAAATGGTATTTTCTACCCAAGAGCCTCTAACCACACAAGTCATTCACAATGCACAACTTTGCCACGAATGCCAATTCTTGCCTTGAATGCTCTTAGCTGATAAGAGGGCCCAAGAGGGAAAGAGAACACGGAATTCCTTGGGTCATATTTTCTCAGTTGTAGGGACAAGGCTTTAATGGCTTTTGCTTCAAAGTCTGGAACCTAACAGAATGGTAGAGGAAGCTGTCAGAACATCACTACTTTGGTCTGGAAGCCTGTGGGTCACCCCAAATCCCTAGCAAAGCTGGATATATTGGGTGGGCAGGGGAGGAGGTGAGGACTCAACCGTTTGCTTTGCTCTAAACATCGCTTCTGTTGTCTGCATGACGACAGCGAGTTATTTCCCAGTGAGAGCGGAGGACTGCAAAGATGGTGCGTGGGAAATGGATTGGGCTGAAGAAGGCAAGGGGGAGGGGGAGAATCTCTCCCTGTTCAGGCGACGGTGAAGAACATCCCTTTTGGCCCCCCCGTGCACAGGCCACTGCAGTCTTCCGCAGGAATGATGGTCCTTGGCAGCCTAAGCTCCTGTCCTTAGAAGTTCCTTCAAAGGCTCTCTGAGCAGCAGGGGACCCCTGCTACAGCCATTCCCTACTTCTATCCCCACCTTTTTCAGTTTAAGGGAACCCAAAAAAAGAAATTGGCAACATCCCCCAAATCAAGAAAAAGGGGCCAGTTCTCTTATATCCCCAGTGTTCTGTGCAAAACCAACATTCAAATAAATGATTATTAACACTGACAGTTAAAACATCACCTCTGGTTTCATGGTTAAATAGACATTTTCTTGGGTTATAAGAATTATGTTTTATATTAATCTTAACACCCCAAATAATACCAGCAACTACTAATTTATAAAGTTTTCCATCATAAATTAAAGAATATACTGTTTTACCAGGAATATTTCCAAAATCAATGTAAGATTGTGGCAGATGTTCCTTTTCTCGGTTTCTTGTGACCAAAAGCACACCAAGGAATGACAGAAAACACCTGTAAGAACAATATTAATAAGGAACACAAGAACACTGAAACAACCCATGGTGTTAAATAACAGCTCCCTAAGTCTACATGATGACATAAATTCCATTGGTTTTGTTTTTCCTGTTTCTCATGGTAAGCCTCCTAGAACTTGTCTTAATTGCTGCAGCCAATTATATTTTTCCCCAGAACCAAGACCTGGGCAGCTTCCAATAAATCTCTGTCCCAGGTTTTTACCATCTGGAGGCTAATTCCGGCTCTAAACCCTTTGGGTAGACATTAGGTCTCATTTTCTATCCATGCATGCC